GATGGAAGTAAACAAGAAGCAGAGGGATTGAAAGCTTAAAGAGGAATTTATATATGAATTGGTTTTTCTTTTTTGTTTTTTTTTGGAGAGCAGATTGAAAAAACGGATGAGGGAATTTAGGTATAGTGACGGGGAGAAGGAGAAACTTGCAATTGTAGGACACTAATTTGAGATAATTTAAGATTTGAAGACTCTTTGGGAAATATTTTTCAATCCTACCCTCATTTGAATTTTTTTTAAACCACCCATTTCAAGAATTATGCCAATGAAAAATTCCTCAGCAATACAATACAAGTCACTATCACGATTCATTCTCAATTTAAGCTCTATTTCTTCAAGGGTCTAATTTTTAATTTGGAGTGTTTGAAATTAGTTATCCACATTTTTTTTTTAAAGATGTTATTAAATATGTTTTTTTTCTTATTTTACCTTTATTTTAATAACATAATTACAACATATATTATAATAAGAACACTTATTTAAATAGTAATTAATAAGGTATAAATATAAAATTTTATCAATTAATTATTACATTTTTATTCTATTTACTACTTATGTCACTTACCATATATATATATACCCATCTTCCTTAGAAATGCCTTACATCATTTTTTTTATATATTAAAAATTAGTTAATCAAGATTATAAGTATTTAAAATTATTTTAAATCAAAAATTTTAATTTAATAAGTGTTAACTCAATTAAACTCTTGTTACTTAATAATGCCTACACCATTTTTCTTCTCAATTATTTTTTAACGTGAAATAACTATTTTCTTGTCAAATTTTTGGGTTTGTAAAAAATTAAGATATCTTAATAATTAAAATATCAAAACTCCCTATAAAACAATTTAAATACCTTTAATAAATCAATATAAAAAATTATAAAAATATGTAAATAATTTTATGGACAATTCTACTATTTTAATTAGTAAAAAATTTGACTTTTCTTCCAATTTTTATTTAACCTTCAAATCCACCCCCATATAGGGCCTAAGGCAGAACCGTCCTTAAAATAAATAAATAAATAAATTATCTTTTTAAATTGTTTTGCATCAAATAACCTATTATTTCATCGATATAAATCTACCAAGGACAACAGGACCAATGGATGTGGATGATTGACAGCAAGGTTGGATACTCCACAAGAGCGGCATACCGGTTTTTTTATATCAATGCCCCCAGGGATCGGATGGTGAAAATTATAGGAGCGTTTGGAATCCAATGGTACCCAGCAGAGTTAGTGCTATGGTGTGGCGAACGGTCCAAAATCGAATCCCAACCAAATTTGAGTTATTCAAAAAGTTAAAATACTAATTTAATCCCTCAACTTTCAATTTATACCAAAATTATCTCTCAACTTTAAAAAGTACTAAAATTTGTTTTAAACTTTAATTTTAATACTAAAATAGTCCTTAAATCTTGACAATAATACTAATTTAGTCCTTAAACTTTGAAAACAAGTACCACCTTAGTCCTTAAACTTTAATTATATATATCAATTGGTTTTTTAATTTTAATTTTATATTAATATGATATATAAATAAAAATATATCATGATAGTAAAATATAACTATTAAATTTTACACATCATTATTATTTTAAAATTTACACATCATTATAATGAGTTACTTCACATTTCTGTTAATAAAAAGACTTTTTTGGTGTTAAAAATTAAAGTCTAAGGATATTTTTAATATTTTTTTAAGTTGAGAAATAATTTTGGCACAAATTTAAAAATTGAGAGACCAACTTAATATTTTATCCTATTTAAAAGGACTTAACCAATTATAATATGGCGTGATATGTGCAGAGAAGAGATTGAGACTACAGACCATTTATTACTGCGCTGTCGAAGTATGGGGGAAGTGTTTGGAATGGTGGGGGATAAAGTCTGCTCGTGCGGGTAACTGTTGGGATAATTTTATTCAACAATGGGGATATTTCCCAGAGAAGAGAACGGGAAAGGTTGAGTGATTATATGTTTTGCACGGGTGGTCCCTTTGGTTAAACCGAAACAATAGTGTTTTTCACTGGACGAAACATTAAGCAGAAAGGGTCTTTGAGAATATTCAAGTCAGGTCATGGGAATGGATTAAAGCAAAAAAGAAAGGATTGGGCAATATTGTTAACAGACTGGATATTGGAGCCTAAAGAAAGTATGCATCAGGGGGGTTAGCAAGATATTGGGCGAGAAAACAAAATGCTTGTTCCTAAATGAGTGCAATAGTATAATATGATGTAATTATTTATGCGTTAAAAGTATTCCTGTACTTTAATAATTAATACTATCACTTGTTTTTTTATGAAATATTATTACATGTTAAAAATTTACTTGTTAAGTAAATTTATTTTTAATTAAAAATTGATATATAATAACATTATTTTTTAAGTAATAAATAATTTATTTTAATCAATAATTTTAAAAAATAATTTATTTCTAATTATTTTTATAATCGAATCTGTCAATCCCACATTTTAGGCAAATCTAGTGGTTCCGCATTTATCAAAAAACAAGAGCCAACAATTTTCCTAAGAAAGCTTACTGGTTGTAGCCTATCCATACAAGGCGGGCCTGTGACACGGTCGCCTCCCCACATCGCGATGTAACGTGATGCGATGTGTTGGCCTGATGTGCAATCAGCGTACCCTGTTGTTGACAAGTAATATTATTTTTTAATTACTTTTCCTTCTTTTGGGGTTTACTGTCCACTTTCTTTATTCGTCAGTATTTTTCCATTCTGTCCCTTTTTCTTTTCTCAATGTTATCAAAACAAGGTGGGAAGATGAATTAAATAAGCTTATTGGATTAATTTTTTAAAAATAATTGATAGTTATTAATTAATATTTCATAATTAATATTTATAATTTAAAATATTAATTTTGTTTTATTAAATTAAAAATTGATAACTATTCTCAACAAATCAAAACTCCCCTAAAAACTTTTAATCATGATTTGGGGTTGGTTAAGGACTTTTTTTTTGTAGGCTATACAATATAAAATGCTCTTTTCTTTCTTTTTCCAACTTAAAATTTCAAGTTAAAATTTCAAAACATCTAAAATTTCTAAAAATAAAACTATCTAATTGAACTTCGTTAGTAAATCGATATTTTTTAATGTAAACTTTTTCACTTTTCATGTTGGAAAAAAATTACAAAAAATAAAACTAAAACTTTTTTAAACTCAAATAAATTTAGAGTTTAAAAATATAATTATATACAATTAAATATATATTTTTAAAATATATTATAAAACTGATAAG